CAACATGTCAAACTTTGCAAATCTTCTTGGTAATATTCTAATTCTTTTTGGCCTCTGAACTTGTTCCGAATCATCTTCAAATGATGGAACAATTTCAAATGCTAGACTACCTTCAGAGGCTAGACCACCTTCAGAAGCATGACCACCTTCCGAGGGATGATTACCATTAGAGTGATCATCATCAAAATCTAGATCAGAATCATATTCACTTTCAGAGTCTTTTTCATACTCATTTTCAAAGGCAGAATCTCCTTCAGAGGCAGATTCTCCTTTAGAGTCTTCTATAAACTCATCTTCAGAGGTAGAATTTGTAATGCCCCGATTAATTTAATTTAATTATTGTAAATGAATTGTTTGATTGTATGTGTTGGTTAATAATTTGATGTGTTAGAGGAACCCTTGGGTGTAAGGTAATAACCTTATTAGACTTTAAAGTGTTAGGGGTGCGTGAGCAAAAAGGTAGAGATGTGGGGGTGGTGGGAGATGTAGAAATTATTACTATTATTTAATTAGAGTGATTTATAAAAATAATAGTAATAGTGAATATTTGAATATTTATTTTTAATTATTATTGTTATGGTGATATATAAAAATAAATAAGTGATTTAGACTATTTATAATAAATATTTAATGGAAATAACATTTATTTTATTTAGTTGGAATAAGATTTCAATTGGAAATAATAATATAATAAAATAAGAAAAAGAAGGGAATAGGAATGGGGAGCTATCAGTATAGGAGAAGAAGAGAAAGAAAAGAGAAAGAAAGAAAAGAGAGATTTAAGGCATAGGAGAAGAAGGACCTACATTAGAAAAGCTTGAAAATTCATCATCTAAGGTAAAGGTGGGACTTCCTTTTGTATATGAGATTATATGATAACATGTGGGTGGATGTAGTTTCTCTGCAATTTCATTTTTTCTCTATGTTCTGAATCATTTGTTGTGTATGATGATGCTATTATGATGCGTGTTTGGATGAATTGCATAATGGGTGAATGATTGGGATGTTGTATGTTGTTGGGAATCAGAGTGTGAAACTTGATCAAATGACTTTCCATGAAAATTTGGGGTTTTTGGGATGTTTCGAGACTAATTTTCATAACACAAAAATTGCAGAAAATTGTCACTGTCTTAGTGGTAACCTGTCATACCCCAAATTTTACCACTAGATTCCATCATCATTTGCATAGTATCCAACACATTTTAGGTGTGTCATTCATGCATAGCTAACCCTCAAAATTATCAAAATATTGTCTTGCTTTTCTTATGAATTAGGATTTGCATCAAGGAGATTATTGGTTGATCAGTCAAAGTTTTGGATTGATCATCAATATATCAATTTATCATGATCAAGAGTTTTCATACATCAATAATAAAGTGTATTGTGGCCTCATTACAAGTTTATCAAGTTTCAAATTCATCTTGTCCACACATTAGAGTTTCTGAGCCAAAGTCAATTGCACCTTTGAATTTTGACCAAAACATGATTTCAAGCCTTGGGGCATGATTCAAGACACTCAAAGACACATTAGTCCATCTATAGTGTTCAATTAGCTCAAGAGTTTGATTTCACTGAAGTATGCACTTTGAATTTCATCTGATACAAAAGTCAACCATTGATCAAAGTCAAGTTTGACTTTTGACTTTTTGGTCAAGACATAGGCTTCTCAAGTCAAAGCTCATGAAAATATGTGATTTGGATCATGATCAATCAAGAAAATCAAGTAAAACATCAAAGAATCAAGATTTGTGATAATTAGGGTTTCATAATTTTTTCAAAGTTATGAAATTCTATGATTTTTACTCAACTTCCCAAGACCATAACTTCCAATCCAAGCCACCATTTTATTTGCTCCAAAGCTCAAATGGAAGGTCTTACATCACACTTCAACTTTTCCCTAGGTGATTGGTTCCAAAAAATGCAAGGATTGAAATATATGAATCCATGAAGTTGATGTCACATTTATGTTTGAAGGAAAAACACTTAATAAAATTTTCATGCAATCCTGACCCTTAAAAGTAGCCAACTTTAAGGCCATTTTTCACCATGATCCCAATTGATTCAAGAAAAACTCAAATCATGAAAGTTGTAGAGGATGTTTTAAGTTTTCCAAAGAGTCCAAGAACACAAAATTATCATACTTGATCTAGGATTTTCGAAGAGATGAAGTTGACATTTCAAACTTAAATTATAAGTCATTTTCATGACATGTTCTTGATCAAATATTGAGCCAAATCTACTCTATCTTGTTTTGTAGGCATTCTTGCTTCTAAATCTCAATAAAATATGAGTTTCACACAGATTAATGATGCATTATCCAAGTGGTTAAGGCATTGTTCAAAGAATTATTCCATTTAGGGCATAAAGATCACACTTCCATTTTGGTAAAGAGGCTTTAATCACAAGTTAACTTGTATGGAGCTTTGCAATTATTTCCTCTGCCCACACTCCATTGCAGAACTCAAAAAGCAACACCTCAAAAATGCTCAACCACCCTAGAGGCTTGTACTTTGCATTGGAACCATATGAATCCATGAAACTACCACTTTGCTTCCAACCAAACAAAAAACTCCACAACTTGTGATTCTGCAAAGTTCTCAATCCCTCAACATTTCCCTATAAATAAAGACCTCTTCACAAGTCCAGAAACACAGGAAATACACCAGAAATTCCTCTAAAACACATAGTGGACTTTGAGAACTCCATAAAAGCTCAAAAGTCCATTCTTCGAATCTTTTTCTCCTTTCAATTTCTTTCCAAACAAATCACCCAAACATCTTCTAAACACCCTTTAGAACTTGTTTTCACCCTTAAACAAGTGTTGTAGCATCAATACCATCACCTTTCATATCTCACTTCACATTTTGCAAAAAGGTTTATGTGAAGAATTTGAAGCTGTTTCAAAGTAAACAAATTATCCAAGCATTCTCTTTGTGGTAAGGGTATAAACTGCACCATTGCACAACTTCTGGAAGTGTTAAGAAGAGGCATTGAACCTTGCTCCAATAGGTAAGATTCTTGCACTTTCAAACTCATCATACTTTCATCATTTTTGGTTGATTATTGAAGCAAAAGTTACCTTGTAAAAATCATACCATTCAATTCCTTGTTAAATTCTAAGCAACTTTGGATTTTATAGTCTTGAATTTCATGGAGAAATGAGAGAGATATACTTATAGAAAGTTTGAGGAAAAAATGAGAAATATGAGAAAGAAAGAGAGAACGCGTGAGAGGAAGAAGAAGATGTTGAGGTGGCATTTTCCATTTTTAAATTTGGGTTTAATATATATTTTATGGTGTGCATTATATTATTGGCTGAGGCATTGCGCCATGGTGGTTTCTGTGTGTGTTTGTGAAGCCAAGGTCTGGGGTTCGAATCCCCCTCACCTCAGACCTTTTGTGTTTTTTTATTACCATTTTTAACATTCAGACTTAATATTTATTGTATTGCACGTGTTACCTAGCACCACTTGGGCAGTGGCCTATTAGTCAATGTTTTGGGCTAGTAACATCAAGGGCGCAGGTTCACAACTTCATCCATTCATTTCTCCATGCATTTTTTTATCTTTTTGGTCCATTCTTTTTCACACTTCTTATTTGTCATACCTATTTTAATAATCCATGAAAAAAATTCCAAAAATGATTTTATTTTCACACACTTTTATTTAGTCAAAGTGTCATACCCTAATTTTTGACCCTAAGATCCCACATCATTTGCATTCCATTAGCATCATACATTTGTATAATTTTATACATCACTAACCTATTTGGATATACAAAGATTGTTGTTTGTTTCATTTGATTACCAATTAGGGTTTTAAGCCTCAAAAGAAACTCAGACAAAGGATCAACCAAGAAGGGGCGTGATCTTCAACTTACCAAGTCCCTTATTCATCCATGAAGATCAAGAGTTTCCCTTCATTCATAATCAAGTACAAGATTGCATCATTTTAAGTCAATCAAGCCCCAAGTTCATCTGGTGCATCAATTAGGATTTTAGTTGATTAGGGCCTCCAAAGTGATTTTTTTTAATCTAGGCATGATCCAATACCTCAAGATTTGTTTCAAAGACCTCAAATACATCACATTGGTCCATTCATGTGATTTGATTGACCCAAAGGACTTGATTCATAAGCAATGCAAGGATTCAAATTCATCTAGACCACAAACTAGAGTTTTGATGAAAAGTCAACTGTACCTCTGACTTTTAAGCAAAGGCATGATCTCAAACCTTGGTACAAGATTCAAGACACTCAAAAACACATTTTTTATCCATCCATGATGTTTAAATTATCCCAAGGGTTTGATTTCAATAAGAGATCACAAAATCAAAGTTCATCTGATACAAAAGTCAATTGTGCCCAAAATCAAGTTTGAATTTTGAATTTTTTGGTCAACCATGGTTTCTTCAAGTCAAGAACAATGTTAATATGTGATTTGAATCATGATTGATCAAGAAAAATCAAAAAAGTGAGGTTACTTATTAAGAGGGAAACCATGAAGAAATGAATTTTTTTCGGCAAAAATACTGCTGAGGTCCTTTGAGTTATTTTAAAGTAACAAGTTAGTCCTGTAAGTTTTTTTGTAACACTTTAGTCCTTTAAGTTAACAAATGTTTGCAGCGTTAACCTTTTTAAGATTTTTCCATTCCAAAAAAACCAATGTGGCACAAACGGTGATGAAGTGGTAGGTAACGTTGGTGAAGTGTCATGGAGGGTTGCTGATATGGAATTTGTGCTATCCCTCAAGTGGTTAAGCAACGAATCTTACAAATTAAAATTTATGGAGCCTCAATTTTATTTCCCCCATTGCTGGTGAAGCTTCTTCTTCGTCTTGCGCTCAAGATTGGTTGTACATTGAAGGTGAATAATCCATTGCGCTCATGATACATTCAGGTACATATATCTAGTCAATGATGGTTTTTCTTCTTCTTCGTCTTGTATTTGAATATGTTGATGGTTAGGTTAATGTTACACACACTTGCGTCATACAGGAACATAATGGTTATGGATGATTTTTACGTTGACTTTCATCATGGAGGGTATTTCGTTGAGAACAAATATGTAGGAGGTGAAATGTCAAACTGGAAGTGTGATGATGATAGATGGTGTTGTTTTGAAATTTTGGGGGTTGTTAAAGAAATGAAATATCCAATAGTTCAAGAAATGTTGTATGACTTTGCTGGAACCTTGAAGGCGCTGGAAGATGATTTTGGTGCATTAGAAGCATTACACTGGTCCAAGACTAAGGGGAAGGTTAACATATATATAATCCACCCTATTGAAGAACCAGATTTAGATGTTTCCCTACCTGAAACACAACCTGAGAATAATGTGGAGGATTGTATGGACCAAGGTGTTGAGGATAATGTGGAGGACTATGAGGACCAGGGTGTTGAGGATAATATGGAGGACTGTGGGGACCAGGGTGTTGAGGATAATATAGAGGACTGTCACTATTATCAGGGTGTTAAGGATAATATGGAGGACTGTGGGGACGAGGCTTTTGAGGAAATTGTGGAGGATTGTAGGGACCAGGCTTCTGAGGACAATGTGGAGGATAATATGGACCAAGATGAGGAACAAAATTTGGATGCATGTGTGGAGCAAACTGGGGACCATCACGAGGAAGAAAATGTGGACCACCACGAGGAAGAAAATGTGGATCAAAGTGTGAACCATCACGAGGAAGAAAATATGGATCAAAGTATGGATCAGCTTGAGGAATAGAACAATAGTGATGAAAGTGCATTAGGGGAAGGTGATTTTGTTGACTCGGATGATGAGGTTTTGAATGATGGATTTGATGAAGTATTGGTAGGAGAAAAAATGTCACCTGTAGGCCAAAGTGTTGAACCTAATGATGATATACTAGCAGATGACACAAATCCTAATAGAAAAAGGAAAGGAGGGAGACTATCAAAGAAGAAGTCAAAAGTCAGTTCCAAGAGGCACAAAGGTAGACCTAATAAAAAAGGTGTCGATGAAGAAAGGAGAGTTTCCATTATAAGTGGTGAAGCATCTAGTGATGAAGATGTCATTGATCTTGGAGTTAGGGAAAGAAACAGAGGTAAGAAAGTTTGTCGTGGTTTGTCAGACTCTGAGTATGAAACTGAGGACTTAGTGAGTAAGGATGAAGGTAGCAATGAAAATTTAGGTGAGGATAACAATGTTAAGTACCCATCATTTGTCATGCCTAGGAAGTTCAATGACTATAAGTGGGTTTTGGGAAACTTATTCTCAACAAAGGAAAAGTTCAAAGAAGTTATTACTAGATATGTTGTTTATAATGGAAGGGATTTAAGGTACTTGAAGAATGACAAAACTATGTTTAGAGTTGGTTGCAAGGAAGGTTGTCCATGGGTGGCCTTATGTTGTAAATTACCTAATGCAGATACTTGGCAATTTTAAGGACACTAAATGATAGTCACACTTGTAATTTATAGTTTAATGTTAGAATGTTTAATTCTAATTGGCTTGGGAAGAAATTTTACACCACAATTAGGATCAACCCTAATGTTAAGCTGACTGCTATATGTGAAAAGGCACATGAAAAATGGAATGCTGGTATGAGTAGGATGAAAGAATTTAAAGCAAGGAAGACAACACTAAATATTGTTGAAGGGTCCTTCAAAGTGCAATTTTTAAGGTTGTATGACTATGCACATAAGGTATTGAGGTCAAATCCCAACAGCACCATCAAGTTAAATGTCTAAGCAACTGAACAACAACAATCTGAACTTGAACAACAACCTGAAGAATATATTAGTAGACCTTTATTACCAAGTTTTCATAGATTGAATATGTGCCTTGAAGATTGTAAGAAGAGTTTTTCAGTCTGTATACCGATTATTGGTGTTGATGGATGTTTTCTTAAAGGCATTTATAGAGGCCAAATCCTTGCAGCAGTAGGAAGAGACCCTAATGACCAAATGTTGCCTATTGCAGTAGCTGTAGTTGAAGCAGAGACAAAAGACTCATGGGCATGGTTCTTTGATCTTCTAGTTCGTGACTTGGGTGGGCTAGAAGTTTGTAAAAATGTGACTTTTATCTCAGATAAGAAGAAGGTAACACTGAGTTTTTTACTTTGTTCCATTTATGTCCTGCATGATTTTTACTTTTGTAACATTCAGGTTCCATTTATGTCCATATATTTTCTGCATTAAAATGTTCCACATTTAACATACTTATGTAACATTCATAGCACACTTATGTTACAATGTAGTCCTTCAAGATTTTAAAATGTTACCATATGTGTCATGTATGCATTGTAACATATTGTGTTTAATTTATGATTAGGGGATGTTACATGCAATAGATGAGTTTTTACCTGGAGTTGACCAGAGATTCTGTGTTAGACACCTTTATAGCAACTTTAGAAAAAGATTTCCAGGAAAACATTTGAAGGAATTGATGTGGAGGGCAGCAAAGTCAACATATCCTCAAGCATGGGAAAGGGAGATGAAGGAAATGAGGAAGGTTAATGAGGAGGAATTCAAACACTTGTGGAAGACTCCTCCAAGATATTGGAGTAAGTCTATGTTCAAATACAATACAAAAAGTGATGTCTTGGTGAATAATATGTCTGAAACTTTTAGCAGTGTTATAATTAGACCAAGACAAAAGCCAATTGTAACAATGATGGAGGAGATTAGAGGGTACCTCATGGATAGATGGACAACTAATAGAGCCAAGATAGAAGAGTATGCATAATCTGTTCTTCCAAGAATTAAAAAATTGCTTGAAAGAAGGAAAGAGATGTCTAGGATTTTATACCAAGGTACATAATCTATTTACAAGTTAGTCATTAACAGAACCCGTTATTTTAATTTTACCAACACTAACTCAATCAATTGAATTTGTTCCAAAGGTTGTCAGGTGACATGATTTATGAAGTGAGGCATACAAGTTTGAGTGGTGAAAAATTTACAGTTGACCTCAGAAGGTTGGAGTTCTCTTGTAGAAGTTGGGTGCTAACTGGCATACCATGCTACCATGCAATTTCTTGTATGCAGAGTAGATCTTTAAACCCAGCTGACTACATCCCTGCATGCTATAGAAAAGAGGCATACCAAGCTTGCTACCAATCTTTCATATATCTAACAAATGGGGAAAATTTATGGGAACATACACCTTATCCTGACATACTACCACCACCTTCAAGAAGAGCACCAGGGAGGCCAAAAAAAAGAAGAAACAAAGAGGCTAGTGAAAAGAGAAAGGATGCAAAAAAATGTTTCAAGGAAGGGGATGCCAAACAAATGTTCAATATGTGGTATGTTTGGACATAACAAATCATCATGTTCTGCAAAACCAAAACATGCCCAAACTGCAACTAATTTCCAAACTGACCAATCTCAAACTGTCCAATCCCAAATAACCACTACAGTCCTAACTATCCAATCCCAACCAACCCTAAATGTTCAAACTACACAACCCCAAACAACCCCAAGAGTTCAAACTAGACAATCCCAAACAACCACTACGGTTCCAACTGTCCAATCTCAATCAGCCCCAAGAGTTCAAACTAGACAATCCCAAATAACCCCTCCAGTTCCAACTGTCCAATCTTAAACAACCCATAGAGTTCAAACTAGGCTGTCAACATCATCTTCTAAAATCCAGACACGATAGTCCGTCTCAGTGTCACAGTTGCTTGCCATGAGAAGAGGAAGATAAGCTAGTACAACAGCATTTCAACCACTAACAACAATGAGACAAAAGTTGGCTATTAGGAGAAAGACCAAATAGATTGTATTTTTAACTATAAAAATTTTATATTCTGTTGACTTATAAAACAATCTTATATAATGTTTTGGAATCAGGTAGATCCATAACAATCTCATGTAATGTTTTGGGATATGATCTATTGACATCTGTTTTGGTTTTTAACATTATAACAAATACCTTTGATTATGATTAGTTAATATCCTGTTTGGTAATCTATTCACATCTCATGTAATGTTTGGTAGTGTAATGTAGTGCTTTGAGTTTCATAAATTTTTGATATTCAAATTTGATTGAGGTTCACAATCGTGTAAAATAATATGTCTGATATTTTTTTAAATGTAACAAACAGGTCCTTCATTTTTTAAATTTGTAACAATCACGACCATCATGTTTTTAATTGGTAACACTTGAGTCCCATATGTTTTTAAAATGCAACAAAGAAGTCCTTCCAATATTTCTATTGTACAAGGTATACCAGAACTATGACAGATGTGATAAGGAATTGCAGACTTGTAAAACAGATTCTTAAGACTCATTTTGACTGGTCTACATGGTGAAACATAACTGTCTACAAAAGATACTATAGCCGTGGTATAGATTTGTAGAATTGCAACACATAATCGTTTCATTAACCAAACCATTGTTAAGACTTACAAACATAAAACCACAAGTCATAACTTATAAACATAAAACTACCAACATCAAAACTAACAATGATGATTAACAATGATTTCCACTTTTAAACCAAATTACACATAACATTGCAAAGATCAAAACCAACAACATAGTTACATAGCCTAGCATATTCAATATCTTCAACAAGTTCTGCTTGATCTCCTTAGTGTATTTCTCATCCTTTTCAATCAAACTTCTAAGAAACTTGATTTCAACATCCTTGCCATCACAGTCTGTACATTTCAAAGCTAGTGAAGGCTGTGTCTCTTATTTGACTTCATCACTGTAATGGTTTTCATACCATGTAAAAAACATGCAACCGGCATTTTCATCTTCACTTTGTTAACATTAACACACAAGAAAACAAAAACTAATTACATCTACAAAAACCAAATCCACAACCAACAATGTTTAATAACAAATGTACCACAAAGTATCTGCATCCCCAAAATAACTTCCCTAAATTTTTTCCTTTCTTCTTAACTGTTCTCAGTACTGCTTTGGCTCCACACGAACATGTAGGTTCGATTCTAGCTTGGGATGCACTCGATATGAATGTATTAACATTCGAACATCTTTGATTTTGTCCACTACTGCCATACGAGGCCATTGATAGAGTAATGAGATTTAGGGTTCAAAGTATGTCATTTTGGATTTGGGATTTAGGGATTTCATTTTCAGAAAACTGAGAAAGAATGAGACAGATTCCACATCAGCAACCCTACATGACACTTCATCACCGTCTATGCCACATTGGTTTTTTTGGAATGGAAAATGTTAAAAAGGTTAACCCTGTAAATGTTAGTTAACTTAAAGGACTAAAGTGTTACAAAAAAACTTGTGAGACTAACTTGTTATTTTAAAATAACTTAATGGACCTCAGCAGTATTTTTGTCAAAATTTTCTAAGTTATGAAGAAAACCCTAATTTGGTGCAAACTTTGCAAGGGCATAAATTTCAAACCAAGCAACCATTTTCTTTGATCCAAAGATCAAATTGAAGAGCTTGCTACATACAACTACTTTGTCACTTAGGGTGGATTCCAAAAAAAGCATAGATTTTGAGATACAAGGCCATGAAGTTATGGTTTGAAGACTTTTTGAACCTTGACACTTAGAAACTTTTTGGACAGAATCTGTTTTGTGTTTTAGCCAACTTTGAGGCCATTTTTCTCCATGATCCACAATGATCCAACGCAAACCTCAAACGTCAAAGTTGAAGTATGACATCTCGACTTTCTAAAATGTCTAAGAAAGCAATTTAATTTCATTTGAGCAAGGAGATATGGAGTCCACAATATACCTTGATGCAACTGTTTTGGTAAGGAAGATTTGGCATTACTTGTGGTGCACGATTTCTTGAGTCCAAGTGTGATGATCATAAAATGCTCACTCAACAAGAATTCAAATGAATCATCCAAAACCTGCAAGATAGAGCCACCAAGTCAAGAGGAATCCCTTTGAAATGATGAGACATCCTCACTTTAAGCCTTGAATTCAAGAGGCATTTATGTGGAATAATGCATTGTCAAAGAAATCACTCTCACCAGTCAAGATGCATTCTTAAACAACAATAAACATCTCTACAAAATATGGGATTGGTTAAAAGAAGAACTATGCTAGTGGTAGAGATAGGGTACATTGAGCTCATCATTGAAACCATCACTGTTCCTCCAAAATAAACTTGCTCCCCTATAAATAGAGACCACATCTGATGTTTCAAAATACACCAAAACAATCACAACACTTGTTTTCTCATTCTTCCTCTTTCACTTCAAAATTTCAAAAATTTCAAAAGAGTGAGAATCGAATTTTCAAAACCAGAGCTTAAACTACTCAAACAGCCACCAAAAACACATCATAAATCATCCATTGAAGGTGTTCAAACCTTCATCTTCCCCTCCAAACACCAGAATCAGAAATTCAACTGTCAAAACCTCATATCTTTGAATTTTTGCATTTCACAAGCCATGTCTTTATTCTTCCCATTTCAAAACCATTGAACACTTCAAACACACTCTAAATAAAATCCCTAAGTTGTTCTAACAATAGTTTCTCAACTGTAACATCATTTGGTGAAGGTTCCATTTTGGTCACTTTTGACCATTTTGTAAGAAGAGGCCCCTTTCTGTTCTAGAGATTTTATTTTCATTTCAAGCATCCTAAACACTTCTTACGGGTTTATTTAAAGTTTCCAAAGCATCAATACATTTCTGTAACAACTATCTTGAGATTTCCACGCTAGCTTCAAGAGGTAAGTTTCTAAAGAACCTTGAACTTGTTAAAATATGTATTGCTTTGATGTGCATTGATTAGGAACATGTTTGATATGTTGTATGTGTTGTGTTTGAACCATTTATTTACGCTATTAATAACTGTATGAAGATATGTCATAGAACTTGCAAAAATGTTCCATAATGGATGATGCTATCGTGTTTTAAAATAGGGACACTTTAAGAAAAAACCAACACCACCACTGTGATCCTTGTGAAATTTTAAGGAAGTTTGATTCTTGTTTCATCCATTTTCATGAAGTATAGAGAAAGTTAGAGGTGATTTTGCAAATGGTTGAAACTTGAATTTCTTGGGCAAGCTAGCCATGGGGGCCCCTCTTTTGGTCAGGCCTATGTCATGTTTAGATACTTGTTTTATTTTGGGGAGGTGATACAATGGATGTATCACCACCCCAATGGTTAACCTGCGCATGTTAGTACCTTGTCACTTCCTGAACTGGGGTTCGAATCCTCCCTCGCCCCAGTTCTTTTAATTTCTCTGATTATTCAACTGGATAAAACATATTATACTCTGCTTTCCCTTCGTTATAATCACGCGCGTGTGGTTGGACTGGCTAGTGTTTGGAGCTGTGAGCGGAGTGTCATGGGTTCAACACCCATGGGGACCATTCCCCATTATTTTTAATGACTTATTTTCTTGTTTTTCTTTGTAAATTCAAGTGATCATAACTTTCTCTCTTTTTTTTTTTTTATGATTTTGAACCCATTCTTTTTGCAAATTGTTCATGATAATGCCTATTTTATGTTTGTGAAAAAAACACCAAAAATAATTATATTTGATGCATTTATGAATGTTCAAAGTATATGGTCTTTTTAGGGTTTCCATGAAGTTCTTTTGATTCTTTTGAGTATTCCCTTACTTTCCCTTGTACATGCTGATTTGTGTGGATCACATACACTTTGTAGAAACGTTAGTTGATTTTGTGAACTTGTGCATTATGTTATTACTTGATTTTTATACCCTTTTGATGCATGTTTTACATGTTAATAGTATATGTTGAACTTTGTCCATACCATAAGCTATTTTCCCTTAGCACGAGATGTTCTTTCCATGTTTACATGACCATGATTTGCATGTTTGCCTTTGTGTTGCTTTTACCATGCTTATGTGTCCTTATACACTTGAACTTTGTCTTGAAAATGACTATGAATATATACTTGTATTCCTAAACTCTTTGTTCTTACTTACTTATGACCATGTTTGAACCCTAACATCCATGTTTGGTTGTTACCAACTTGTCTTAACATGTTCAACTTGTGTCCATGCTTAAATGTTCAAGTAATGCCTTAACTTGTTCACATGATGTTTAAACTTTAAACTTGTCATCTTTAAGTATTCTCACATGCCATCTCTTGTATGTTTACACCTTCATCCACATGTTGTCATGAACATGTATTTTTTGTTCAAGTATGTTTGGTTGTTACCCTTACTATGTTCATTGGATCCTCAATTTATCTTGAATTCATATACTTGCTTGAACTTCTATTAATTGCTCCCATGGACTAAATATTTGCTCACATGTTCAATTATTTCCTTCATAAACTCTTACTATGATGAATATATCTCTTTGTTTGATGCACATTCACACATTACATTTTCAAAAACTCTTTGGGCCTCTATTAGAGTGTAAGACCCATTACTTTTTCAACAAAAAAAACTCTTTGGGCCTCTATTAGAGTGTAAGCCCCTACCCTCCTCCTCAAAAATTTCTTCAATTTCTCAAAACATCCAATCTTTGAAAACTAAATCTTAAACTTTCATCAAACAAAGCCTTAATGGAATTCATTTTCAAACCTTTGGGTCTCTATAATAGTATAAGATCCACCACTTTTTAAATTCAACCATGCTTAGACATGGGCCTCTGTAAGACCCCCA